AGATTCAATAACAGCACTGCTGCTGTAATTTTGTAAGGATGGTACTAAAGAGCACATGCTTGTTCCATGGCCTACCGAATCACAACGGGTCCTAAAGACAGAAAGCTGTGACTTCACGGGGTGCCGAATGTTTGGGGGGTTCAAGCCAGACATCCCAGCCTTCTCCCCAACTCATAGGGAGATTTAACCATGTCAAAATAAGGGAAGTGACTTTTTGACATTGTTAAGTGCAGGGCCGATTAAATGCACCTAAACCAACTTGTAACAAGGTCGGCTCCAGATCTCTAGATGATCGAGCTCTTTACCAAATGTTGAACCGGGGGGAGTGGAAGCAACAGTTCGACAGGTCTGCTAGCGTGCCCAATCCACCCAGGTCGTAGAATCAAAACTTCCGCTGAAACCATTATGAGGGCGACAAATCTGTTCCCCACCGATAGTTAGCAGACGATGAATGCCAACAAGATAATCATCGTTTCCTCAAACAGCATCCTTATAGTTCCCATGCAAGCCACACAGATGCTTGGTGCTTAGAGAAGTGTGCTCCTGAGAGCCCGGAGAACTTGCCTCCCGTGGAGAATGTCAACACGTGGAGATGCGAGTCCCTAAACCACCTATATGAATGGGGCGCCAGCGGTATGTTGCGCGGTCAATGTCTAAGCTTGGTCGTTGCTTCTGCATCCATGAGATTCTGGACACGAGGAACACAGCCTGGGTGGTGAAGTGCCGGCGGGGCGATCGCTGAGCCAAAACGGGGAACACAGAGGCGGAGAGAGAGAGAGAGACAGAGATGTGAAAAAGAACCGAGCCGAATTGCGGCATATTTGGCAGAGTAGTGCCGACAACAACTGTATGTCTGATACATATTAGGAAACACTACGCCCAAATTTTAAAGTCAACCAAATTTGGGAGCCATGCTCAATCACCATGGCACCAGGAAGTTGAACAAGTTGACCAAAAACATTGCCTTTCTAGAGGGACGCACATGTTCAAAGAGATCTGGATTTTTTTCCTCATGAGGACGCCGTTCCAGTGCGTTGCGCAGTGAATCAGTTTACCGGACATCCGTTGCATATATTAATATACTCCTGAAGATGATTGAGCAACGCGGACGTTAGCGCGGGCCCGTTGTGGGCCCGTTGGCCCGTTGCCCGTCGGGGGCCCGTTGGCCCGGGCAGGGGGGTTCGTCGGGCCCGTCGGCCCGTTGCCTGTTGGGGCCCGTTGGGCCCGTTTGCCCGTCGAGTGTTTGGCCCCAGTGGAGACACCGTGCCTGGACCCGACTGCGACAGACACCATGGCTAATCTATAGTGCAGTCGGACGTGTTATGTCCCACGCTTCGTTCCGGTACGAACGGTCGAGTACGACCGGTGGCTTTGCCTCCACAGGTACGTCTTGTTGTATATGCTTTTGTTGACTGATCCTCTAGATCCACATACAATCCGAGAAGGTGATGTACTCGACACTGTAATGTAGTTTTGCAGGTTTCACTGTCAGGTCCAGTCATACCGAACCTGAGAAGGCACGTCTGGGTCCTAGGGAATGGTGTGATCAACACGAAACGTGAACTACCTCAGAACAACCACGGGATGAGCACCGTCGGGGTTTAAAGTTTTTACCCGATGGACACTCTCCATGGGACTGGCAGCATTTACTTCAGAACTTCATCCTGTAGGGTTAGAATCTTGCAGCCATAGACGGTAGGAAGGTAAACTATTTATTTTGTTGTTTCTGGTCATTGACAATGACACAAAAACGTCAATGACAGATAAATAACAACAAACAACAAAAACAACACCAAAAAAATTGACAGCTAAAATCAAAATGACACATCAAATGACAAACAATGCGACAAATAAATTGACTACAACAAACAACACCACTGACAAAATGACAAATATATATAATGACAAAAACAACTATTTGCCGTTTTTCAGTGTAAGGCTGGCTAAGTTTCTTCTAACTATAGGGATCCAATATGGAACCCAAACCACTGGGATCCCTTTCGCAGGAAACCACGATCTCAGCTTCGACCCGGCGCCTAGACGGACGAAGGAGGGTCCGCGAAAACAGGCCGTTCCCGGTCCCTGAAAACCGGGATTGGTCCGCGTTGGGACTCCTCCAGAGGCTGATCCCAAAGACTCCTTGGGACTGGCATATTGACCTAACACTCCTTAGTAGTTGAAACGGGGCTTCAAACGGGGTCAACCTGTTTTCATACACCGTTATCCCAGTCTTATACGGGCACGAACGAACGAAGTCGGGTCGTCCAGTGTAGTTGGAAGATCCAGGTAGGGAGGGCGGTCCCAGACGCGACCCTGGAGCCTCCAGGGACCGGAGGGCGTACTGGATATGGTTTTGAGGGGCTTTTGGGTTATAGGAATGTTGTGTCGATGGACAAGTTTCGATAGCAGTTACTCTCAGGGCCTCCAAATAGTCTGAGAGAAGGATGGCAAAGATATGTCCATCAGCACAAACTGTTCTGAAATTTCAGATCCTGGAACCAGCAGTCACAAAGGGGTGCGATCCATGGAGGTTTGGGGTGCCCAGCTACTCCACTCACTGGATGGGACTAAAAACCACCCCTTTGTGGGAAGATTTGGATTTGGAGATCTCCCAATGCTGCGCACCGCGGCTCCGCATCGCCGAACGAGCGACAGACAGACCACAGACCACTTCGAGGCGAACTCGGCACTGAACCAACCAACTGCTACACTCCAACCGCTATACACTTTCCTTGACAAATAGGGGAGGTGCAGGGGGGGGGCGGGAGGTGCATGGGTGTGGACGGGGTTTTCCACTTCCAAGGTCTGATGTTGGCTCGGTCCTGTTCATCGTTGTGAGGGTCATTCCACCCGGACTGCGAACGGGGAACGGGTCCAGACTCTGAGCCAATTTGGACAGGAAAGACCTGGATTTGTTCAACTGAGATTTCTGCCGAACTTCATCGATAAAAACACGCCCAAAGGCAGAAAGGTAAAAAGTCGGTCTATTTTTATGATCAAATCAGGTGAAATCAAAAACGGTTAAAATCGTTGGAAGATCCAGGTTGACATGAGGATATGTTCCCGATCTCAAGCGATCAACCCAATGGGACGGGTTCGAACACCGAGGCCTATTGTCTCTCGCATATGCAGAAGACCTCCATGTGTGAAGAGGCGAAAGCAGCACTGGAAGGCCGGAGCTAGGAATTTCCTGGGTCTCATGCCATCATGGGTGCCCACTGCTGATGACTGCTGGACAATCTTGCTAGTGACCACACAGAAAAGCGCTTGAGAAGCGTGTCCACTTTTTCAGAACTCTTTGGTGTGTTGCGCACATTTATGTTTTTGTTTTTTTTACTTAAAAAAGTCAGCGCTCCAGATTGCTTTTGAGATCACTGTAGGGAAGCCTGTAGACGATGGTCTGAACAGACAAAAGACGAACAAATATGTGTAAGAATGCTCTACTCTCGGAATGCGCAAGTTCCTCTCATGACCAGTATGGAATTCATGGATTGTTGGGATCCTTCTTTTGCATCCGCACGTTGGTGCCACGTTCACAGCTGCAGGCAGTTGTCGATACCTGGAAGATGAGATGGTGGAAGTTCTAGGGCACCTTGATGCCAAGAATGGACGCCTCTTTCTGCAAAGAGGACCATTTTGGGATTATAATCAACCTTTTTGAATCTATAGAAACCAGAAAAGTTTTACACTAGCCAATGAATGAGTAAACATCAACAATGTCCAACATGGTTTGTTTCATGTAGGTCGCCAGTCCCAGACTGGTCATGTGATTCAAGTTGTGATCCAACATTGGTGTCCCAATCATTCAAAGCTGCTTTGGATTGTTTCGTCCACTGAGTCGACTAAAGATTTGAGAGATCCTCATCACTTGACCCAGATCTGCAGATCCAGGGGATCACTGCTTCTGAGTGCTTGCTTCCATGCGAGGTTCAGTGGCACGTGAGAGAGACTGAATTGGAGCCAGAGAGTTCAGCATGAACAACTCACGGTGATGGTGTTGATCCAGCAGCCTAGACGAGGCTGCGGCTTGTTGATGGTTTGGGCATGAAAAAGGCCCTGTTGCTGTCTCCAAAGCCCCTTCTCCATGGGACTGGCATATTCAACTACATTGACTCCGTTTCATCAACACCAATGTCGGTTTGCCCTAGCTTCCAAGACTATTGAAGACAGGTTGGCCCTGCTTGACCTGGTTTTGTAGTGTAAATCCTTAGTTCGATATTAAATCATATTAATGGTTGGCCGGGACGCATACAGATCTCCAAACCAGAGGGGTTTGTCTCTTTGCACGCCACTTTGGGTCGTTTTTCTTTCCGGTCCCCCCGTAAGTTGGCCGCCTCCCGCTGATCTGCGGTGTTTCTTTGTTTTTTCACTTTCACGTTCCCACCCCCGAGGTATCACATTTATGGCTCACCCTGGCCACTTAGTCGCACCAATTCCGTGCCGCAAACGCGGTGGAGCAGTGGCGCGAGCGAGAGTCCAGGGACCTACGCACCGGAGGGTGGTGGGATCCAAGAAGTAAGCTATTGCTGCAAGGGGTATTAGGAAAATTAATTCTAGACCATCTATATGATCTATATGCTATTTTTTCAATAGATGTATACCCCATTTATGACCGATCCAGGTGCATAAGTAATGATCCATAATATTCCATATATGGATTGTTTGTGAATTTCTCAGGAAGCTGAAAGAGTTTCAGGGTGGGCAGAGGAGAAGTGATCCACGATCGCTGACTGTTGACAGTTTGATCCTTGTTTTTCCTGGAGGAGTGCTTGAGAAGGGACCTAGTGAGGGAAGAAAAATCTCTCTGACAAATTGTTGTCAAGTTCATGTCTTAAGCCTTCTTCTGTGTTCTTAGAGTCAGACTTGCCGCGCTGTGTTCTTCGTGCGCCAAACTCCACTCGCAGCCGTTCCGACGTTTGAACCTCGGCCGGTGCGCCAAACGACCGAAACGACCCGTTTCGGTGACCGTCGTGACGGACTCCGTGAGTTCGGGGACCCGGATGTCTGGGGAATGTGTCACCAATCCCGGCTTGGAGGGACCGGGAATGACCTGTTTTCACAGAGAGTTTGGACGCGATGCAAAAGACACTGGCCGCATGAGGCAGCCTGAGTTCTGCTCCTGGGCCTTTGGCTTACCACGTGGGGAGCCGCTCGCGCAGGCAGCAGGATGCTGGTAGCAGTCAAAAGGAGTTGGGTCTTGCCACGAAAACGGACAGGTGGACATGTCCCAAAGAAGGCACAGTACTTATACCCATACCTTCCATGTATGGAATATTTAGCTACATGGCCCTGAAAGCATTTGGACCGCTTCTGTTTTCAATTGGTCCGGGCCTCGGGCCCCGGTACATGTGAAGACAACAGACACTGCATGGGACTGGTGTGAAGACGTCACCTATTTCTTTGACCCTGGCCTTCCAAGACCATCATAGACCATCAATATTTACAACATAGTTGACCTGCTTTTGTAATGTAAAACCCTCAGTAAGACAAAGGCTGTTCGGTAAAGGCTATTAAATCAAGGCCAGGACCTAGGGTCACTGTAGGCGTACCTTGATCTTCCCCAACCAACTTCGAAAGATGATGTTTTTTCATCTCTATAACCAGTCACAATGCAGACATTTTGCATATACTTGGAAGATCCAGATGCAGTTGGGGTGATCCAGTCGCCGCTAGCCTTCCCTTCGACCATTAACAGAATTCAAATGACCTGGTTTTGTAGCATCCTTAAGTAGAACAGCTGGTTGTTCTGTAAATGCAATCATATTCAATAATATACAATGGTTGAGATTGGTTGAGTATTCAATCCAAAGGTGGGCTACCGGAACGACGGGCAGTCCCAGACGGGCCGTTCTCACGACCAGACCATGGACGGCCCTTTTTGGCAGGTTTGGGAGAAGATGCCGGACCGTGTGGACGTTCTCATGACCCACGGCCCAGCTCACTGTGCCCAGACAAAGACCGAGACCGAGACCAGGGCGGCGGAGATTGCGAGGGGGTTTAGCGACTAGGAGTCCAACCATTGTTTTAATATGTTTTCATAGCCTGTTGCCCAAGAACCATTGTTTTGCGGCAGGATGTTAGATATAGTCTTGAGACTTTGGGGACAGGGGAGAACCCTAGAGAGTTTAGACATAGTTTTGAAAGGCTAGGGGGCCTTTCTTGCGCTCTCGAGAAATACATGAGGGGTGCAAGTGCGTTTTTCCATGCTCTCAGCGCTACCTGGATCTGTTTTTTCGTGACCTTCCTTGAGGTGTTCAGCATTTTTGGGTCACTTCTAGAAGCCTATATCAGTTCAGTTCACACACACAGACAGATCGAGGCATTTTCGGTCACGAGCTGGGAATCTGGTCTTGGACTAGAGAAACCCATCCGAAAATGAGACCAGGTGGACCCAGGTGGATTGTCCCCTCCTGCATGCCGTGGACAAATGAATTGTTTTGCTTGAGGGATGCGATTGCACACATCCCTGCGGCATGAGCGTGGGTAGGGGCGGCTTAAGCACACATAGAGATATTCACTTCTTGGGATGGGACTACAGACCATCCAACTCCATGTGACTCCAGGTAGTGGGTGGTGTTGTGACTCCTCAGTCTGATCCTTCTCTCAGGTATCCTGGACTTGTGCTCAAGTGGCATCCATGCCGGCTGTGAAGAGCTGTTGAAAGCCATCAGGCGAGAACATGCAGTTGGCAGTTGGCTTGGGAGTTCATGCCTGGACCCTCAACACCTAGATCCTCTCAGTCACCGAGCCTGATCCCGGAACTGAGGTCACCAACAGGCCTGTAAAAGGTATTCCTGCGAGTCAGTCACCGAACTTGATCCCGGACACTTATAGCTAGGCTTGTACAAACGTCACTCATCCTTTCGGGGGGACTCCCAAAGGTCACGAACGGGGGCAGGTGCTGGCCAGACTGAAGCCTGGCTCGAATGTTTATTTGGACCTTAGAAAGTGACTCTTCTACTGGCCCACGTGTTTGGTGCCCGACTGAAGTGCTGGCCCGACTGAAGTTTCCGGTTACTTTTAACCTCATCGTCCTGCTTCTTTCGTCGAAAAGACACGCGCAGGGTGTAGTCGTAGCCATGTCTGAAGGTCCAACCACATCCGAAACCAAGGTGCTTGGGGTGGGTGCCACGGGGGGTTTAGCTCATTCTGAGAATCTGGATCCTTTTGGGGGAACTACGGCTGAGTCCTCTGAGTCCTTTGACATGCTCCCTTTGGCCCACCCCAAGCATGCACCGAGTGCAGGCAGCGTTCCATTCCGGTGCATTTGTGCGGCCACATCCATGAGGTGAGGACGCGCATGGAAGCAGTCATTGAGTTGGTGGCTTTGGCATTGCAGGTGAACTGACAAACAAGTTCACCGTTGCAACCAACTCAAGGTGGCATGCCAAACCACAACTCAAGGTTGTTTGGTTTTCTCGTTGAGAACTGTGAAACACGTGAAACACGTTGCACTAGTGCGGCTCGTCAAGAAAAAACCGGAGGGGATCGGAGGGGTCCTTGCATCGCCGCAGCACCGTTTGTTCACCACGAGGCCTATGGCGTTGAAGAAGTTGGGAAGACACTCTTCCTGAACGCCTCCACATGCACGTTGTCCTACAGGCTCGGGTGCGTATGGTTGAGCGTCCTGAGTGTCGATGTCCCCGAGATTCACCTTTAAAACAATGGTTGAACTGGTTTTGTAGTGTAAAATTATTAGTAAAACAATGGTTCTTTGGTAAAGACATGTAGAGACTATTGAATCAATGGTTGTTGGAATCATAGGGTAGACACCTGGCATTCCTTGTCTTTTGCACGGACACAGCTGAGGTGATCATGGGAATAGTTCAATGCTGCAATGCGAACAGCACATGGGCATCATTCTTTCATGGACCCCTATGGATCCACGTACTCTTGTGGTTGGATAATATATTTGAGACACTTTTACATAGGCATGGAGGGTCCAGTCGTACCCAACCTGAGGTTCGGTGGCTGTCCATGTGTCTACGGTGTTTTTATACATGTGTCCAGGTTTCCCGGAAGACCGAACCCCATGACGTATGATGACGTAAGTCAATCTGAAGTTGGCTATGCTAACGGGAGGTTGGCAGGGGGTGGGTCCAATCCTGGCACTTGGCCCTGGTGGACGGCCCAGTCTTCACGACCGACACCAGGTAGGTCAACCTTAAGGTAGTATGTAGACTCTTGAGGTAGACTCTTGATATCTCATGATGAATACTGTAAACCCCCTGCGAAAAGGTCTCACAATCTAAATGGGAGGGGTGCTTAATCAAGAATCTACATGTTCCTGGTGCCATGACCGACAGCCATATATGGGCTAGTTCAACAGACCATCAACCCCTTTGCTTGAGCCAGGCCTGCCTTCGTCACTGAATAGACGAATAGACGTCTATACCGGGATCCAAGTTCGAAGGGACCCTCCTGGACCCTCCTGGACCGGCACCTACAAGTAAGCTGAGTGAGTCCGTCCTCTCTCACCGTCCGTTCGGTATACGACGCCGGGTTGACTCATATCCCAGACGCGACCCGGTCTGGGACTGCCTGACTGACCGGCACCACCCCTGGCCGTGCCACGGACTGGCAGTCCGGACTGGCAGTCCCAGGTCCGGGTCGCGTTTGGGTATGGCATGGTATGGCTGCCGTCATAGACCGACCAGGGGCGATCGGGTCTGTGTCTCCACCACTGGAGTAAAGGCGGATATATGCCACTGGTCTACTTTCCACTGGCAGTGGGTGTCTCCCATATGCCACTCGTACTTTCTTCCTCAACGATTTTTGTTTGATCTGGTCTTGGACTCAATCTGGTTTTGGTTCGGGTCATGTCTTATTTTTCGGTACAAGTGCAATCAAGTGTTTGTGTTACCCACCCCGCATTTCTTCGTGAGGCTTCAATCTTTGAGCGAACGCCAAGGACTTAAGATCCACTATAATTATCCACGTACCATCATGCACCGTCTACAACTATGCCGCTGTCCTACATGTTGTGTGATTTCAGTTGTGAAGGAAGTCTCTTTTTGTTCGATAATACGTGCCCAAATGCTCCAAACAGTCCGGCCGGTCCTCCGAACCATATGTGGTGGAAAAACAGACCCTGACCCGAGGATTCCACTTTTCACGGAGGGTCCAGAACTTGGCGTCTTGAGAAGATCACAAAAAAACCTTCCTTTTGCCTCCTCTTCGGAGCTTAAGCAACCTTTCCTTGGGAGTTGGGGACACCTGGGGACACCCTATCTTTCAGAACAGGTCGAAAACTTCGGTTCACCTTTGATGTTCCAGACACTGCTTCGGAGTCTCCGTCTTCCGCCGCGTTCAGGCCGACGAACCGCCCCTTGCTCCTGGACCTGCCACCACCTGAGCTCCTCCACGCGGTAGACCGAGTAGACCAAGACGTGGAGGAAAAAAAGACCGGGCAGAGCAGAGGGTTCTTACAGAGGTTAAGTGACCTTATAGGACCCTACAGGGGTACCTATAGGACAGTCTATAGGGTTCTTCAACCTCTGCTGGTGATGCTTGGCGCTGGGAGCGGGAGTAGACGGAGGAGTTGTTTTGAGGCACGAACCGAAAACAGCGCCCCGCCTGAGGGCGAGCCCGAAAACAGCCCTACCCTTCCTCTCGACTAACAAAAGAGTTCGGTGGACGGATTTGGTGTTGTAATGATTCATAGTAAACCAAATGGCTCGTTGGGAAAACCACATCAAACTAACTGATGTGCGACCGGAGCCAAGCCGGCTGCAAATGGCCCAACTCAGAGACTTCGAGCCCGTGGGCAGGGCTGCAGGATAGGGTGCCGAACTTGGAGGATAGGGGTTCAGGTTCCCGTGAGGCCACTCACTGGACGGGATCCAAAAACCACACCTTTGGAACTGCTGGTGTAGGATTCTTGATGAATCAAAAAAAACATAATATAGATCCATATAGATCCATATAGCGCCCAACTCTGCAGGTCTCCTAGCTCTGGTGTCTGAAATGACTTGTTGACGTGGCAGGGTATATGAAGAGTATGATGAGGTCTTAGACAGTCTTCGAATCCCAACATGGAGTGGGTGATTGATCAAAATGCTATCTATCATGATGTAAATATTGTTTTGAGGACAAATTTGCCTTGCATGCAGACCCTATAGGGTTTGCCCGAAGTGTGTTTTGCTGCTGTTAACTTAGCGTCCAGGCATTCCCAATCTTCACTTCCAACAAAACATCACCGTCTCACAGCCTCACCTCCCAAATCGATTGAAACTTCCATCAGTTTCATAGGTCTTTGAAAATAGTTTTCTCCCTTTTGTTCAACTGCTCCATTCCTCCGTCAGGGCTGCCTACTACGATGCCTTTCACCAGCGCCAGCAGAAGACCCACCAAGCCTGGCAGCGCGGGCGGCCTGGGACACACCGGTGATGCGTTGGACTGGAAGCGCATTTTGGCCCGTGAAAACCACTGGAGACGCGTTGGTTCTCAAAACAAGTGGCCATGTCTTCCAGCACCACCCAGGAGACGTCGAATCAATCCGTGGGACTCGACCTGCCGGGTCTTCTCGTGACAGAGGCTTGCAAGGGCCCGAGTACAGGTCGAACCATTGGTGATCTGGCAGGTCGAACGGATGCTAGTATAGGAGACCCATAGGGAGTCTCCAGGTACTTCCTATAAGAATGGTCTTGGAGGTGACAATCTTCCAAAAGGACATCCGATTCGGACTGCCTTGGACCGGAGAGGGTGAAAGTACATTGACCGTCAGGTCCAGGTCTATTGGATTGGTGTCGCCATCAGTTCCTCGCTCGGAAACGACCCCAACGCGGTCGCTGCTCGGAGTTGAGGTCCTTGTTGAAAGCCCTCGAGGACGCCGGAGCCAGGGCGCACCGCGTTCGGTTTTGCGCCGCCGTTGGAGATCTGTAGACCGTATAGACATCCGTAGCTGGTCCAGTCCACGCGACCTGTGAAAAACAGGGCCGACCTCCAAGTCCCTTTAGAATCCATACCAGGACCTTCCAAGTCCGGCGGTTTCGGTGGTTTCCACCTG